GGGGCCCCTCTATGGGTACCTCTGGGGGCCCCTCTATGGGCGCCTCTGGGGGCCCCTCTAGGGGCCCCTCTGGGGGCCCCTCTGAGGCGCTTCGGTACGTGGGGGCCCCCCTTCAGTCGATATCTTTTGGCGAGTTTTTGCATCATGAGCTGCCTGTTCGCTTTGCTTCGCGAGTGAAGCAGCTGGAGGCCCTTCCTCTCTTTCATACGGAGCCCTTAGTTATGCATGTACGTGCGGCCCCCCAGTTTAGATAGCAGGTCATAGCTCTGCAGCAGCAGCAGCAGCAGCTGCTGCTGCTGCTGCTGCGGAAGCTATTCCTGCGGAAGCTGTTGCTGTTGCTGCTGCAGCTGCTGCTGTTGCTGCTGCAGGTGCACTTGGTTCAGCCTTGAAGAGCACTCAGTTAGCTATCAGATATTTTAATAGAGATATTGTAGCTAGCTAGCCGGATTGCTGCTCCAGACACAACTAGCGGACAGCTAGCTACCCAGATAGATAGCCACCACGCACTCAGCTAGCTGATAGCTAGCTACCCATAGATTGGGTGGCTAGCTACGCAGGTAATTGACAGCTAGCTGCCTAGCTACTTGCTGCAGACACAGCTAGCTAACAGCTAGCTATTCAGCTAGCTATGAACCCCCTCCCTTCCACTGCACTTCTCTTCATTGCAGCCTCTTTCACCCGTAGCTAGCTGCTCCAGCTGCCTATAGAGGCTTGCATCTGAGCCTTAGCTAGTTAGGTTGCTACCTAGCCGTCTCTTGCTGGCCAGCCAGCCAGCTAGCTAGCTAGCTAGCTATCCAGCTAACTAGCTAGCTAGCTGGGGTTTGCTGTTGTGCAGGTGCGGCATACTTACGTGGAGAGCTTCAAACAACTGAGGACGACTTCAGCCAAAGACCCACAGGCCTTCCGAGAGGTCCCTACGCACACCTCATCTTCTGCTGCTGCTGCTGCTGCTGCTGTTGCTGCAGCTGCTGCTGCTGTTGTTGCTGCTGTATCTGCTGCTGCTGTTTCTGTATCTGCTGCTGCGTCTGTTGCTGCATCTGCTGCTGCTGTTTCCGCATCTGCTGCTGCTGTTTCTGTATCTGCTGCTGCTGCAGCAACTGGTGATGCTGTATCTGCTGCTGCTGCTGCTGCTGTTGCTGCACTTTCGTTGCTTATTTTATGTTGTTTTGCTTTTATTTACCCCTCATTTATTTTATTTTTATTTTCCCTCTGTCCTTTTTTGTGTCTCCATTTATTATTTTTGTCTCTTCTTCATTTACTGTCTCCTTTTATGACTCATCTTTATTCATAGCTCTGTCTCTTCTTCTTTTAATTAATTTACTTTTATTATTTATTAGGTTGTCTTTGACTTAAAGAGGAGACACGCACCAATTGTCCCCATGTTAGTCACCGGCCTCCGAAACCTAAGAGAAGTGGCGCCTCAGTTTTTTGTACATACACCCTAAATTCTAAACCCTAAACCCTAAACCCTTAACCCTAGACCCTAAAGACTAAGACTTAAGCATTAAGCCTTAAACCCTAAAACCTAAACCCTAAACCCTTAACCCTTAACCCTAAAGACTAAGCCTTAAACATTAAACCTTACACCGTAAAGCATAAACCCTAAACCCTAAACCCTAAAGACTAAGCCTTAAACATTAAACCTTAAACCGTAATGCATAAACTCTAAACCGTAAACCTTAAGCCGTAAACCCTAAACCTTAAACCGTAAAGCCTAAACACTAAACCCTAAACTCTAAACTCTAAAGCCTAAGACCTAAAGCCTAAACCCTAAACCCTAAATTCTTTACAGACAGAGACCGAAAGAGAGACAGAAGCGCAAAGGAGACAGACAGTGAGGGGAAGAGACGAGGAGTTAAGCAGTTGAGTAAAGAGAGAGAGACAAATAAAAAATAAAAGACTAATTAAAATGAATATGCATATAAAGAAGCAGCAAACACAATTAAAAATAAACATCATCTGCTTCATTTGCTGCAGACCGAAGAATTCGTCGATGAATTTCTTGACGGCTTTTTTCTCTCCAGGATTGGTAGACAAACCCTAAACCCTAAACCCTAAACCCTAAACCCTAACCCTTCTTAGGGGTATTTTAAGGCGATCTACACAGCGGTTGTTGTTAGTGCGGCAACGTTGCTTGCTTACGCTTTAGGGTTCATTGTTTGGTGTTTCTGTCTCCTTTTTTGTCTTTTATTTCACTTTTGCTGTCTCTGTCTGTCTCCTTTTGTCTGTTTCTGTCTCTGTCTCTGTCTGTCTCTGTCTGTCTCTGTCTGTCTCTGTCTGTCTCTGTCTGTCTGTCTGTCTGTCTCTCTCTCTCTCTCTCTCTGTCTCTCTCTCTCTGTCTCTCTCTCTCTCTCTCTCTCTCTCTC